TTCCTGCACACGGGCGTATTTGATCGAGAATTTGGTGTCAAGCAGTAGCCGTTCAAATAAATGCTTGTCAACTGTATAATAAATAATTGCATTTTATGAAATTACCCAAGACTAAATTTCAGCGGCTAAGCTATCTATTTATAATGTACTTCTTCTATTAGCATGCTATATTTCATAAAGATTGTAGAAGTTCAGTACGGAAAAGTGGATACTGAGACCAGAAAGACAGACAGTCATTGTGCAGCAGCCGTAGCAAAAAGTGCTTAAGTAGCATTGCTTTTACTTATATGAGGTGTCAGTCGGTAACGGTTAATTAGCAGTAACTGCTCCTAAAAGTCGTTGAAATCGTCTAGACGACACGTTTCATTAAAAGAAATTCTAAATACAAACGTAATAGACTGTTACCTCGAGCTATTTTGATACTTCAAACTGTTAGGCTATGGTGGTGATACACAGACAGTTGCCACCTTTATCTACATAAGCAGATTAAAAAACTTGATTCTCAAAAAGCTGGTTTTTACTTGAAGTACAAGTCGGTATCTATAAAGTCACAAATACGATGTTATTCATTAAAAAACACAGTTTTACTGTATTTTTCACCGCTACAAATTACCTCTAATTTGCTAACTTAAGAATATGCCATAAATCTAACTTCTAATTCTTATATTCTATAAAGCATAAAATTAAGTATAATAAGTTTTTTCTTTTGCATTTAATAAAGACTTCTTTTTAGCTCTCCCCTATTCATCTGCATCCTCTGCTGTTCTTCAAAACTTTTTTTGTACTAAACAGAATTTTTTTTTTAAATTAGACGATACAATTATCAAACAGGTCAAAAGCTTCTAAATTTTATTAATTTTCCACGTAATTAAGAACTCTCAAGTATAAACGTGCTCAAAAAAATTGTGGCTTTTCTAAACCTTGACTGTACAACTCGATAAAAATTGAAAATTGAAAAAAGTTTAAGATATTAGTTGAAAAAAGTGTCGTGTTCAAACGTAAAGATTTTGCTAAGCAGAAGAATATTTGGTTTTTGATTGTTATATTACTGGTGAAGAAGTACAGTGTATTAGTCTACTAATAAGAAAATTTTAAGCAGAGTCACGCAAATTAATAATTTCAACAAAAAATATGGCTATTTTTGGAAAAATTTTCGAGGACGTTATTCTAGTTTAGACTTTTTATCAGTTAAACTTAGCACTATCAAATTATTTTATGCACTGGAAGAACAATGTGGTAAAGTTTGAGTTTTGACTCGTTTTTTTCTTTTTTTGTCTAGAAATTCACTGATGTAAACAACTTTTTTCCTTTATTCATCAATTATTAGTAAATTTGAAAAATAAATTGATAACGTAATAAGTCTTTAAAACCTTTTATTTTTGTACATTAAATTTTAAATGTCTACTTTTTCTTCATACTTCTGCTTATAGACTTTACTGGAACAGCAAAAACTTTTTCGTAGACTCTACTGTTTGATGATAAAATTGATAAAAACTATTGCGTTAAACAGAAACTGACGTTTAACAAAAGTTTAGGCCAAAATTTATGTCATTAAATCAAAAAAAGTGATTTATTAAGAAAAAAAAAAAAAGTTCTGGCATTTTATTCCAAAACTTATTATAGCTGTTATAAAAAAACTTCAATGGAATTTATTGAACTCAACTTGTACTTCCCAGTTGGTCTTTTAATTTTGAAGCTTCATTTTTTTTTTTTTTTACAATTTTTAGGTCATAAAAAATAAGAGCAAATCAAATAGAAGAAAGAGTGAAACAAAAACAATTTTATAGATCAGTGTCTTTAAAGTGCACATCAGTTAATCGGTTCTTCGTAAATACTGTAAATACTTTGATTACTAGTAAGCAAATTTTTTTTTTTATTTTTCGGAATATTTCGAAATTTCACTTGAGAAAAAAAGTTAGTGATCATTCTTTCTTATCTGACCACTACTTCAATTTAACTTTTACTGTTGTCAACCAACATTAAAAACAAAACAACTTAATACTCCAAACAACATTTTTTAAAGTTGAACACAAATACATCTTAATTAAAAGGTGGGTATAATAACCGTCAAATGAACGGTGCAGTAAAGGATTTGTAGTTTGAGAAACTTACTGTGCACAGCTCAGATGTTCGTCAATTTCTAAATATTACTTAGGCTGTGCAGTGTTTTAGAACTGTGCAGTGTTTGTCAGTCCTGTCAAGCATTTTGATATTTTCAGTTGCTGAAACTTCAAGATTTTAAGATATAAATTGTTGCTCAAATTCAGCCTGGTAACGAATTTGGGTATCAAAGCAGCTGTGTAAGCTAAATGTAGAACTCAATAAATCTGACACTTGAATTGCTGATTAATTTTGCTTAACTGTTTAGATAATTGAAAATAAACGTTGAAGCAGTAAGCTTAGTGCGTATACTGTATGCTACTGTACTAAAAGCACCTTAGTTCGTTTAGCAAAGCTTGTCAAGTTGCTAGTGACTTCTTGCAATCACCAAACAGCAATAAACATTAAAACAATAAAAGTTCACTGTCTTTGGAACAAAGTACAAAATTTGCAGTATTCCACTGCCGTTAAACCCTCAGCAAAAAATTAGAGGACAGCCATCACATAGCCATCACAACCTCAGCCTAACTTTCACATCACCGAGTTGACCATTTAAGGTCAAATGTCGCAGATAAATATAGATTTCAAGAAATTCTTGATGGGTTCAGGCTACAGTTTTTCTTTACCTCAAAAATTTAACGTCCGCAACATCTCGAGACATTGTTAAACATAGTTATTGTTTTCTGTATACTTTATTTATCCTTTTCTGCAATAAATCATTATCAGAACAAAGGCTTAATGGAACAATACAGAATATTTTCAACATAATATAAAAGGAAATGCAGATTAAATTTTCGATAGATTTTGAGCATATTCAATCTTTTCTTGCCTTTATTTTCTTTTTTTTTTTCGTTCTGCTTTGCATGTCAGCTGCAAAAAAAAATTAGCAGGTTGTCAGTAACTGCTACGTTATATTTTTTTTAAGTTTTAGATTATTAAAAAAGTTATTTGATTTTTTTTTAAATATAAGTTCTTTTGTTTGATTTTTTCAGTTTAAATTTCGTTTGCTTGCATGACAGAAGTGTAAATTAAGTGTTTTTGAGGGTTGTAAGAATGCGGATCTTGAGAACAAGAAATATAAGTGTATGTTAACTATTTCAGAAGTCATCTTTTTGTTGCTGTTATTTACATTCGCTGTTTATGCAGTTATATACCAAAAAATTTGAACATTACCTTATAAAGCAAAGATCTTGCAACAAAAAAATCAGGAGATTGTTGTGTGCAAAGCAAATGTATAATTTGGAAGATTAGTCACCACATTCTGGTTGAGCCACTGATCAGATACCGTAGCGAAGTGGTAGTCTAGAATGGTGTTGAAGAATATTTTGATCAAATTTTCATTGAATTATTGAGCAATCACTGTAGTGGAGCAGTAGCAAAGGGTTAAAGCTACAAAAAATTTGAATAAAAAAAGTAAAAGCAAATAAAACTTTGCAATAAAAAAAAGCGTAAAAAAAGACAATATACTTAAGTGTTTATTAATGCTTAAGGTTGTTGAACTTTAAAAACATCAGAACAGATATTTACGGTGATTAACAGAACCCCAATTGTTCACTATTTAATTTTAATAGTCACTATGTTTTACAGTTTTTTTTTTGTTAATAGACTTCAAAAGCAAAAAAAAAAAGTGGTCATTGCTGCAGAAAACAACTGCTAAACAACGTTCAAACGTTTATCAACTGAACTTTACGTCAGATTGTCTTCAAAACAATTAGTTGTTTTATAAAAGCTGTTTATAGTTTGTTGTTTATAAAGTTGTTTAAAACAGAGCATTGAGTTTTGAAATTAACTAATTTTTGCAAGTTTAAATTGTTTAATAATTGAAATATTTATTGTAGCAGAAAAAAATTATGAAAAAAAGAAGAACAAAACAAAAGAACAGTTTACAACAGAAAGTTTAATTTTCCACTTTTTTTTAAAGCTGTTTTCTGTC